TCCGCCGTGGATCGGGGCGAGAAAATGTCGTTTTAAAGCGACATATCTCCAGCGTGGATCAGGGCGAGAAAATGTCGTTTTAAAGCGAATTAGCTCCGCCGTGAATCGGGGCGATAAAATGTCGTTTTAAAGCGACATAGCTCCGCCGTGGATCGGGGCGAGAAAATGTCGTTTTAAAGCGACATAGCTCCGCCGTGGATCGGGGCGAGAAAATGTCGTTTTAAAGCGACATAGCTCCGCCGTGGATCGGGGCGAGAAAATGTCGTTTTAAAGCGAATTAGCTCCGCCGTGAATCGGGGCGATAAAATGTCGTTTTAAAGCGACATAGCTCCGCCGTGGATCGGGGCGAGAAAATGTCGTTTTAAAGCGACATAGCTCCGCCGTGGATCGGGGCGAGAAAATGTCGTTTTAAAGCGACATATCTCCAGCGTGGATCGGGGCGAGAATATGTCGTTTTAAAGCGACATATCTCCAGCGTGGATCGGGGAGAGAATATGTCGTTTTAAAGCGACATATCTCCAGCGTGGATCGGGGCGAGAATATGTCGTTTTAAAGCGACATAGCTCCGCCGTGGATCGGGGCGAGAAAATGTCGTTTTAAAGCGACATAGCTCCGCCGTGGATCGGGGCGAGAAAATGTCGTTTTAAAGCGACATAGCTCCGCCGTAGATCGGGGCAAGAAAATGTCGTTTTAAAGCGACATATCTCCAGCGTGGATCGGGGCGAGAATATGTCGTTTTAAAGCGACATATCTCCAGCGTGGATCGGGGAGAGAATATGTCGTTTTAAAGCGACATATCTCCAGCGTGGATCGGGGCGAGAATATGTCGTTTTAAAGCTACATAGCTCCGCCGTGGATCGGGGCAAGAAAATGTCGTTTTAAAGCGACATAGCTCCGCCGTAGACCGGGGCGAGAAAATGTCGTATTAAAGCGACATAGCTCCGCCGTGGATCGGGGCGAGAAAATGTCGTTTTAAAGCGACATAGCTCCGCCGTGGATCGGGCGAGAAAATGTCGTTTTAAAGCGACATAGCTCCGCCGTGGATCGGGGCGAGAATATGTCGTTTTAAAGCGACATATCTCCAGCGTGGATCGGGGAGAGAATATGTCGTTTTAAAGCGACATATCTCCAGCGTGGATCGGGGCGAGAATATGTCGTTTTAAAGCGACATAGCTCCGCCGTGGATCGGGGCGAGAAAATGTCGTTTTAAAGCGACATATCTCCAGCATGGATCGGGGCGAGAATATGTCGTTTTAAAGCTACATAGCTCCGCCGTGGATCGGGGCAAGAAAATGTCATTTTAAAGCGACATAGCTCCGCCGTAGACCGGGGCGAGAAAATGTCGTATTGAAGCGACATAGCTCCGCCGTGGATCGGCGCGAGAAAATGTCGTTTTAAAGCGACATAGCTCCGCCGTGGATCGGGCGATAAAATGTCGTTTTAAAGCGACATAGCTCCGCCGTGGATCGGGGCGAGAAAATGTCGTTTTAAAGCGAATTAGCTCCGCCGTGAATCGGGGCGATAAAATGTCGTTTTAAAGCGACATAGCTCCGCCGTGGATCGGGGCGAGAAAATGTCGTTTTAAAGCGACATATCTCCAGCGTGGATCGGGGCGAGAATATGTCGTTTTAAAGCGACATAGCTCCGCCGTGGATCGGGGCGAGAAAATGTCGTTTTAAAGCGACATATCTCCAGCGTGGATCAGGGCGAGAAAATGTCGTTTTAAAGCGAATTAGCTCCGCCGTGAATCGGGGCGATAAAATGTCGTTTTAAAGCGACATAGCTCCGCCGTGGATCGGGGCGAGAAAATGTCGTTTTAAAGCGACATAGCTCCGCCGTGGATCGGGGCGAGAAAATGTCGTTTTAAAGCGACATAGCTCCGCCGTGGATTGGGGCGAGAAAATGTCGTTTTAAAGCGAATTAGCTCCGCCGTGAATCGGGGCGATAAAATGTCGTTTTAAAGCGACATAGCTCCGCCGTGGATCGGGGCGAGAAAATGTCGTTTTAAAGCGACATAGCTCCGCCGTGGATCGGGGCGAGAAAATGTCGTTTTAAAGCGACATATCTCCAGCGTGGATCGGGGCGAGAATATGTCGTTTTAAAGCGACATATCTCCAGCGTGGATCGGGGAGAGAATATGTCGTTTTAAAGCGACATATCTCCAGCGTGGATCGGGGCGAGAATATGTCGTTTTAAAGCGACATAGCTCCGCCGTGGATCGGGGCGAGAAAATGTCGTTTTAAAGCGACATAGCTCCGCCGTGGATCGGGGCGAGAAAATGTCGTTTTAAAGCGACATAGCTCCGCCGTAGATCGGGGCAAGAAAATGTCGTTTTAAAGCGACATATCTCCAGCGTGGATCGGGGCGAGAATATGTCGTTTTAAAGCGACATATCTCCAGCGTGGATCGGGGAGAGAATATGTCGTTTTAAAGCGACATATCTCCAGCGTGGATCGGGGCGAGAATATGTCGTTTTAAAGCTACATAGCTCCGCCGTGGATCGGGGCAAGAAAATGTCGTTTTAAAGCGACATAGCTCCGCCGTAGACCGGGGCGAGAAAATGTCGTATTAAAGCGACATAGCTCCGCCGTGGATCGGGGCGAGAAAATGTCGTTTTAAAGCGAATTAGCTCCGCCGTGAATCGGGGCGATAAAATGTCGTTTTAAAGCGACATAGCTCCGCCGTGGATCGGGGCGAGAAAATGTCGTTTTAAAGCGACATAGCTCCGCCGTGGATCGGGGCGAGAAAATGTCGTTTTAAAGCGACATATCTCCAGCGTGGATCGGGGCGAGAATATGTCGTTTTAAAGCGACATAGCTCCGCCGTGGATCGGGGCGAGAAAATGTCGTTTTAAAGCGACATATCTCCAGCGTGGATCGGGGCGAGAAAATGTCGTTTTAAAGCGAATTAGCTCCGCCGTGAATCGGGGCGATAAAATGTCGTTTTAAAGCGACATAGCTCCGCCGTGGATCGGGGCGAGAAAATGTCGTTTTAAAGCGACATAGCTCCGCCGTGGATCGGGGCGAGAAAATGTCGTTTTAAAGTGACATATCTCCAGCGTGGATCGGGGCGAGAATATGTCGTTTTAAAGCGACATATCTCCAGCGTGGATCGGGGCGAGAATATGTCGTTTTAAAGCGACATAGCTCCGCCGTGGATCGGGGCGAGAAAATGTCGTTTTAAAGCGACATAGCTCCGCCGTGGATCGGGGCGAGAAAATGTCGTTTTAAAGCGACATAGCTCCGCCATGGATCGGGGCGAGAAAATGTCGTTTTAAAGCGACATAGCTCCGCCGTAGATCGGGGCGAGAAAATGTCGTTTTAAAGCGACATAGCTCCGCCGTGGATCGGGGCGAGAAAATGTCGTTTTAAAGCGACATAGCTCCGCCGTGGATCGGGGCGAGAAAATGTCGTTTTAAAGCGACATATCTCCGCCGTAGATCGGGGCGAGAAAATGTCGTTTTAAAGCGACATATCTCCAGCGTGGATCGGGGCGAGAAAATGTCGTTTTAAAGCGAATTAGCTCCGCCGTGAATCGGGGCGATAAAATGTCGTTTTAAGGCGACATAGCTCCGCCGTGGATCGGGGCGAGAAAATGTCGTTTCAAAGCGACATAGCTCCGCCGTGGATCGGGGCGAGAAAATGTCGTTTTAAAGTGACATATCTCCAGCGTGGATCGGGGCGAGAATATGTCGTTTTAAAGCGACATATCTCCAGCGTGGATCGGGGCGAGAATATGTCGTTTTAAAGCGACATAGCTCCGCCGTGGATCGGGGCGAGAAAATGTCGTTTTAAAGCGACATAGCTCCGCCGTGGATCGGGGCGAGAAAATGTCGTTTTAAAGCGACATAGCTCCGCCATAGATCGGGGCGAGAAAATGTCGTTTTAAAGCGACATAGCTCCGCCGTAGATCGGGGCGAGAAAATGTCGTTTTAAAGCGACATATCTCCAGCGTGGATCGGGGCGAGAATATGTCGTTTTAAAGCGACATATCTCCAGCGTGGATCGGGGCGAGAATATGTCGTTTTAAAGCGACATATCTCCAGCGTGGATCGGGGCGAGAAAATGTCGTTTTAAAGCAACATAGCTGCATCGTGGATCGAGGCGAGAAAATGTCGTTTTAAAGCGACATATCTCCAGCGTGGATCGGGGCGAGAATATGTCGTTTTAAAGCGACATAGCTCCGCCGTGGATCGGGGCGAGTAAATGTCGTTTTAAAGCGACATAGCTCCGCCGTGGATCGGGGCGAGAAAATATCGTTTTAAAGCGACATAGCTCCGCCGTGGATCGGGGCGAGAAAATATCGTTTTAAAGCGACATATCTCCAGCGTGGATCGGGGCGAGAATATGTCGTCTTAAAGCGAAATATCTCCAGCGTGGATCGGGGCGAGAAAATGTCGTTTTAAAGCGACATAGCTCCGATCGATTCTGAAAAATGGTATCCCGCCGAAGAAAAAATCAAGTATCTTTAATATGTATAGTTTTATTTTAATCATATTATTGAGCCATGTATAAAAACAAATAACAATGATATAAAAAAAAAAATGGAAGCTTAAATAATTATGATTCAAGTCGATAGTTAGATGATATCGTTAATGTATATTAATAATCGATAGTCAAATAATCGAGATTCGCACACCAAATTGGAATTTACTGCAAGTTTAAATAATTATGAATATTAATGCAAACCGATTGATTTTTTATAACATAGGAATAACAATAATAAAAAAAAAATATATATCCGTATAATTCTACATAGTACATACACAATATCTCAATCGTGTATTCATTTTTTTTCGTTTTTTTTTTATGTTTTTTACTTTTTTGGGTCTAAAGCTTGCCGTGGATCTCGAGCTGGTTCGGCGCAACGCTTGCCACTCCTCTGGAGCACGCGTGTGCGTTAAACACAATACAAATATGGATTACTTAAGATTATAATATGTATGTATGTATATATATATGTGTATATATGTATATGTGTAATTCAATCGCATATCGAAATATATATCATGTGATATAATTGCACATTCGTTAAGTTAAATATATTCGTATGAAAGAAAAAAAAAAAAAATAAACAAAAAAAAATGCACTACAAGAGACTTAAGCGCGGAGACGGCCAATTCAGATCAAGCTCAAGCGACTGTTGGTCTTGCGGAGCTGTGCACGCCAGGGAATAATGTTGTCACTATCATCCTGATCGTCCTCGCCCTGATCCAGTGCATCCTGTTGTTGCTGCTGCTGCTGTTGCTGCTGCAGTGGTGGCTCGCAATCGCCGGCCTTGGCTGCTGTGCAGCCCTCGTTGTGGTTCTCCTTGTTGCCCTGTGGATGCGCCTGCTGCTGGAGCAGCTGCAGCTGCTGATAGTGCTGCTCGACGTTGAGGCCGCCGCCGGCGCTGCAGGTGGCCAAATTGATGTTATCGATAGACATGGCGCGATTCTTGAGGCGCCAGGTGTCCGCAACGCGATTGTTCTCCTCCACTTTGGGCGTATAGATGGCCGCTCTGCAAAATGGCACAGACAGCGAGCACAGGTCAGAGAGAGGATTCCGCCAGCTGCGCCACCTTATGCCCACACACCCCAGCACTTACTTCAGCTTGTTTTCAGTTTCTTCGCGACGCGCCAGCAAGTCGCGTTTCCATTGGGGTATCTGCGAGAGGCGACGCGACTCCGCCTCCTGGGCCATGCGGTCCTCAAAGTCCTTTTTGGCACGCTCGGCTGCCTTCTTTGCCATCATCTGGCGCTTCCAGTCGGGTATGGCATTGCCGGCCTGATCCTTTTCTGGTATCTGTAAGTAGATCTTTGATACGCATGATAATCCAGCTCGCAGCCCCCATCCCGCAGCCCGCTCAATCGGCACGGCGACCTTGTGACTCACCTGATCAACATAGTTGTTGGCCGTAAATTGCTTGGTTATCTCCATATAATGCTCCGAGTCCATGCGATTGGCCATCTGCTGTTCGACCTTCATCTTCTTGATGCCGGGTATATCCTTTGAGATCTTCAGCTCGGCTATCAGATCCGTCTTCAGATATGTGTCCGTGCTGGTCGTTAAACACTGCATGCTCAGACTGCGTGCCGGCATCTGGTAGGGCTTCGGCACCTTCTGTGTGTCCGTGCGTCGCAACTGTGCAGAAATTGAAAAGGGATCAGAGATTTGGTTAGTGATCGAATTCCTTTCTAGGGTTCTTGCTGTCGCTTAAGCTATGATATCCGACAGGGTAAATGTTGCCAGGCTTTCATTCGATCTCACAACAGCTTTAAGATTTCATTTTGGAAACGCTAATCCAAGTGTGTTTTAATTTAGTTAAAACGTTGCGAAAAAAAAATAAAACTTGTATTTGATTATTTTTTGTAAGAAATAAAAGATATATGAAAAGCAAACCAAATTATTTTTGTACGATTGTATCAATGACTACATGATTTGGCTATTCGATCGCATCGGTTTCAAAACTTAATACTCGGGCACTAGATAACCTGGAAATCGCCTATACATATGAAAAACTTTATCCTGGCTGACTGACTGACTGATTGACCGATTGACCGTAACAGCTAGAAAGCTGAATGCTTACAAAATTCCACCCGCAACCGTGGAAAATTGTTGGAAAACGAAAATGTAAATCACTTCGATCAGACTCAAATTATTTTCAGGGATCTCTATTAAAATTTCATCTAGATATTTATTAAAGTCCGTGATGTGTTTCACACATTTCGAAAATGGGCGAATGTTCAAGAAGTTTCCGATAGCCAACTGTTTTGAAAAGCTTTTTACGATTGGTTTTATGTTTTGAAGATTGAATTCTCATTTAATCAGCTTATTATTTTGCAAATTTAAAATATGAAGTAGCCTGGTTATACCCGCTAATATTTCGCTGGCCATTCTGTCTGGGATACAACTCACCTGTACACTGTTCAGATCCTGTATGGAAATTGCGGACAGCGGTTGATGCTGCTTGCGCGTCGCCGTATCCTGGCTGCTGGGCCCAGCTGAGCCGTGCGGCTTCTTGGGCTTCTGTGACTTGCTGGTCGCATCGCCAGCCATGGCCGACAGCATCATTGGCATTGGGGGCGGCATCATATGCGGCAACGGGGGCGGCGGTGGCGGCAACGGCGGCTGCTCGCCCACGCCCAGAGCATGTGAATGATGCTGATGCTGGTGCGGATGCTGATGCGAATGCTGATGATGATGATGCTGCTGCTGTGCGATCTGGATTTGCATGTAGTCCTCCGTGTCCGTGGAACTGTAAGGATTGATAAATATTTAATCAAAAGCTGTGTGGTTGTGTCTCAGTCTGCGTGTGTAAGTGTGTGTGTGTGTGTGTGTGGCATAATGTGGGAGTGGGCCGGACCTGCGCCAGGCGTGTCGTGTGCGCAGTATCATCTTTGGATTGCAACTGATCGGAGCGAGGCGAACCAGTTGGCAAAAGTGGCCTGGCATGCAGCACGCATAAAATTTCATGCACTCTTGAGCCGCTGAGGAAGTGTGGCCGACTCGCGACTCGCGAGTGCTGCTGTTAATTGCCCCCATCCCGCAGCCAGCCCCCAGCCATGCCCCAGCCAGCGATCGGCGTGAGCATGCGCTGGCATTGTCTGCAGCTTAATTAAGGCAACTGTACTTCTGCCACTTTTGGTGGTAATTACTTATGTTGCCGCCGCACGAGATGTGCAGCCAAATTAAAAAAAAAAAAAAAAAAAAAAAAAGAAGACAACAACAAAAACTAAATAAATAACAGCTACAGCTGCATCTCAACTCTCTGATGTAGCTGGGAGCTAGAGGTAGAGCTGCAGCTGCAGCTGGAGCTGGCACGGCTTTCTTAACTTACCGGGCCGAGGATGGACACGAACGCTTATCGCTTATGCTCTTTAGATACTCCGACGGCTTGATGAGATGCGTGACGCCGTCTTGTGATTTGTTGGGAAAACTGGGCGGCACAAACGGCAGCACCAACTGCTTGTTGACCAAATTGGGGCCACCGGAGCGCACGCCAACGCCGACGCCGGCGCCCTCCCCGTTATAGCTGCCTCCATACTGCGACTGCTGCAGCTCGTAGTGATCTTCGGCGGATGAACCCACGCCATAGATGCTGGGCGCATAGACCGACTGTTGCTGCTGGTGATAGTGTGAGGGCTGATAACTGCTGCTGCTGTTGCTGTTGCTGCCGCTGCGTTGCTTACTACCCTCCGCATAGCCATAGATGCTGCCATTGGCATGCTGATAGTGCCCCTCCCCGTTGCCAGCTGTGGCAGCTGCTGCTGCTGCGTCAGCAGAGGCGCCTCCATTACCGTTGCCGCTGCTGTTGCTGTTGCCGTTGCCGTTGGCGTTGCCATTGCCATTGAGGAGCTTGGCTTTCTTGTTCGCTGAAATTGAACAAATTTATTTATGAGATTTAAGTCTTGTCTGCGTTAACTACTTATTGTGGGTTAGCAGTTATCCCAGCTCTTTGGTCACGCTAACTTGAGCCTCAACAGCACACACACACACGCACATATACAGCACACTCTCAAGACACAATTCATTGCGTATGCAGCCTGTGCGACGCCTTTCACCAAAACTGCAGAATGGCGTTAATGGATTTCGACTACATCTCAATCAAATGCAGAGCTCTAAAATGCAGTTGTTGCCAAACCTTCTAGCTTAGGGTGGAGCGAAGCAGATGATTAATGGCCATAAATGGTTTCAAAGACGCAGCTTTAGAAGCCAAGTCTTGGCTTAGAATTGCCAAATTCAGCCAAATCAATTCAAGTTTAATCAAGCTTCTAAGCAGGACAACTTGTTGAACCGATTCAAACACGGCACTTCTACTCAAATATTTTGAAAAAGGTAGTTTGGCTTAAAATAAATAACGTTTGAGTAAGACCCGGCGCGAAAGAGACCCAACCATAACATTATTATAAATATATAAGGTGTATGGAAACTATGCGTAGAACTTAAATTTAGCGCACGCCTAAGGATTATAAAACTCGACATAACATAAATTCCTCAAGTCTTAAAATATACGATAAGTCTAGGTTAGAGCCAAGGCCTGGGTTTATGGATGTGAAAAGCCCTTCCTTATCGCAAACCGAACCAACCTGTAGCGAAGATCATGTCAGTTCATAAAAAGTTAAAATATTTTTAAAATTTCATAGTGTGGCAACGCCATTTCCATAAGCTGGCAACCATACAACTTGTGATTACTGTGTTGGCTGTGCAACTCATATAATTATTTGACAAATATTTAACTGACAATTTGCAGTTGCTGTTTGCATTATAACATTGCTTGTTGCTGCCAAATGTGCAAAGCAAGACAATGTGGCAACATTGTTGATGGTAAATATTAACAAAGAGAAAAACTGTCTGTTAGCTTTTGACACATTGATAGCATCTTAAGAGTGTGGCATGGCTATATGAAGTTTATGATGAGATTTTTTGGAATATCTCGTCCAAATAATGTCCGATTTTGGAATGATATACCATTTTGGACTCGTAAAGATCAGTACTATCGATTGGCATTAAGAAAAAGAAAATCAAAAATTTGACCAAAATCGACCATAAAAGCAAGGGGATAATAGCTCCGCGCGGAGATATGACGTTCCAAAACGACATAATATCTCGGATAATAGCTCCGCGCGGAGATATGACGTTCCAAAACGACATAACTCCGCGCGAAGCTATGACATTCCAAATCAACACGTTTTTTCTCAATATCGAGGTCGACTCAAAAATCGAAGCTTTTTTGATGTTGAAATGTTATACATTTTTCAATTTGTAAGGATCCCCACTATCCATTGGCATTTAAAATACAAATCGATGGGTTAAAAAAACTTGATGACCAAAAAACGATTCGTTTCTAAGGTCAACCTAGTCTGCTGCTTTTTTGGAATATCTCGTCCAAATAATGCTAAAGCAAGCCGGACTGGAGGCTTTTGCTTAATTTAGGTAATCTACAGATTTCTGCTGTGTCAAAACATAACAATGACAATCGAAGAACGAAGTCCCACATTTTACACGAATTTGTTAGGACTAGTTAGATAGTTTTTAAATTTCGATACAAATGGGTGTTATTCTAATTATGTCTTACTCGAAGATCAACAGTTTAAGAGGTTAAATGTTTCGGGTAAACGTAAGAAGTTCAATAGGTAAAAAAAAACTGGCAAGAAAGCACCAGAAAAATAACAGTTCGAATGATAAACGGACAACGAAGCGAGTGGTACACATGTTCCCAGTTAATTGGACACCAGGCGCTGCGTCTCCTTCTCTTTGTTGTTATGAGTCCTCGACATTGCAACTTTCACGGCTTCGTGAACGCAAGTTTGCCAACTCGTTTCGTCGTTTCGACTTGGCGGCAGAACTGGAAAGCTGCTGTGGCGAACGCGGCGTACGTCGATGTTAGATGGCATTGTATATGGTCAGAGCACTCGCGACTGCATCCGATCGGGTCTAGCCAGTTTGGGCCATTGATTTGGTGGCCAAACAAAAAATTAAAAAAAAAAAAAAACAACGTCAACCGACAAACGATTTCAGCAATTGCCAACAGTTTTCAACATTTTATCAATTTCCAGAGCAGTTTAACTGGATGTGACACCGTCCGCATTTGGAAATGGATTGCAATTGGTTCGGCCAGGCTTGAGCCTGCCAACGGGTCCCATTTTCATGGTGAAATTGAAAATGTAGATCGTAAAGCGCAAGCCAGTTGCCAAACTGGAAAAGGGATACGGCTAAGGTAGGAAAATTTATATACAAGAGGGTGAAAAAACAAAGGGAAGTTTGAGAAAACGATTTTTTATAAACTTTGTTTATATTTAAAAAAAAAATGAAAGCAAAAGAAAAAAAACATTTCAAATAGATCAAGAAATGTTTTGTGAATGTTTTTCCTATATCGTAGAGTTAAAAAAGCTTAAGATCTTATTTTAGGTAAACATTTTGCAGTTTGTTTATAATTATTTCTAATTAATAGGTTTATAACTTATATGTCAAAAGCACGCTTCACGAATGTGTAACTGTTATTAATTCAATAAAAATATTTATACAAGTTCAATTATGTTTTATTTTTATGGATACACTAACAGATCGCACTTACACCGAAATATATCGAAACGTTGAAAGCTGAGCGTAAAATAATTTCGCCGCGTATTCTTATGGATCTTCATCGAGCCCGACATGTTCATACCGTATAAACTTGAACTTTGAACCGTATTGTTTTATTGAATGATTGGGGGCGAGAACACAATGCACTGCGCTAACAAATCACATGCTCAATGGTTTAAAAACAAAGATTTTAAGAAAAAATTAACAAATGCGAATCTTAAGTCAAAACCCGTGAATATTCAGCTTTGAGCTGGGCTGTGGACGTTGACGATGTTGACTGGGCGAGCGTCGCTGGCAGCCTGATGCGAGTTCAAGCGATCGCCAAAGTTATTCACCCAAAACGACAACAGCAACAGCCACAACAAAAACAACTGCAACTGCAGCAACTGCAACAACAACAACAACGAGTCCACAAGTCGTGTCGACTCCGAGCTGTGGCATCGTGAAGTCTTGTCAAATGGCTATGCGAAAAACACGTTCACTTTCATTGGGTAAAAGTTTTGCAGCGCAGGCAGCGCGGGTGGATTGGCTGCCACAACCCACAAGCAGCCCAGGCCATAATTGGTGGCATTGTGGTGCATGCAGCTGCGGGGTAGGGGAGGGGAGCGTGGCAGTTGCAGTGGCAGCAGCAGCCAGAGGTGCCCGTCAATTTGCTGAACATATGCACTTCCGCCTGGGCCAATGACAGCGCCAAAGGATGCAGCGCTTCTGATCTGCAACCTGTCCGGTGGCAAGCAGCAAGTGGCAAGTAGCAAGTGGCAAGTGCCAAGTGGCATACAGTAACTACTGTATTGGGTTTCACTCAATTTTATGCCCATTTGAAGCTGGTCGCTTGAATGCATTTGCAAACGCATTCAATGACAACGAAGTCTGTTCCCCCCCCCCTCAACTACCCACCACCCACTGTACCTCAGCAGCCAACCCACCTGTGATATTTACCCACGTTGCTTTAAACTTCCACTTCTTTGTTTAGCCACATTGTTGTTTTCAGCTTTTCCTGCTACAGTTTTTGCCCAATGTTAACGTGTGAATTTCGCTCGAATGTGTAAGTATTTCATTTTGTATGCATACAACTAGTTCTCTGGCAAAGACATGCCCAGTGCGAGTGCATAGACCATTTACGAATGAATATTGCGAGTCAATGCATGTCAAATAGCTGGCATTCATTGTCTTCGGTCAGGTTAATACACTCGCTACTCTCTAAACTGTCAGTTTGCCGGGACTACAATTTCTATACGACAGTAGATCTAAGAGCTTTACGAGAAACCTTTTAATCCGCCTGATCTGTGATTTCATTTATTTATAAAGGATTTAATTTTTTTTTCAACTTGAAGAGTTTATAATTTGCCAAGACACTCCGTTAATAATAAGTATTAATGAGACACATTCGCTCCTTAACTATTGCGTTTATCTAAGCACATTCGTCACAATCTGGGTTCACGGACCAGATAATTGAACTGAACTTAAGGGCAGGAAGCTGGTTCAAAAGCCAAAACGAACCAACGAACCATTACGAATCCTAAAGCTATTTTAAATGTGACACAGCACGCCTTTTTTTGTGATGCCAGTCACATTAATATTCAAATCCAGATAAAAAAATTTGCGGGTTTGCTGCATCTTTCCTCGTGGGTTAACCCCACTTAGCATCAAAGCATGTTAAATATCAGTCAAAATATCGCCTATTACCTTCCATATATTACGTGAGATTCGTATTGCTGCAGAACATAAAAGCCGCCAATACCAAAATTACGCAACAGTTTCAAGCTGTTTCCGCTTAAACTGCTTGGGAATTGTAAGATTGATCTGTTGTTAATTTCAATTGGTGTAGCTGCTGCTGTTGCGTGCAGTTTTTGCTGTTGTCCATTTAATCGCTCCTCTGGTCAACTGCTGCCAATTTGCCAAATGGCTAACAAAATGTTGACCAAAGTTGTTTAGTTGGCGTCTGGCTGTTAGGCAATTCCAGTTTTAGCCAACTTTGTGCTGCTAATTGATCAATCAATTTGACTGGCAGCATTTTTTGCTCGCCCCCCGTTCCCCCCGTTTCTTTCTGGCAACAATGTCAAAGACCCCGCCAACAGTCTGCGAGTGGGTTCAAGAGTATATGATTAAGGCGTGCAATTGGGCAACGCTCGGTTTTACTGATCAGACGAAAAAGAAACTATAGAACAAACTGTGTGAACTATGTGTAAGTAAGGGGCGTGGGGAATGGCAACTGTTGAATGGACTTGGAACTACTTGTAATGCAACTTGGTGCGCTGCTTCTTGCCCAGCTTATTGATGCACTTCATTTTCGAGTGGCATCTGTGATTTGTCACAGACGGGGAAGCGGCCGCTGAGCTGGTGCAGGGCACATCACCATTAGCCAAGTTGCGCATGCCCATGGTGAGAACGTCGGGATTGGGCCAGAGCGGCTCCTCTGGGTCGGCGATCTTGACATCCAGCAAGTGGCGATCGAGCAGCTCCAGCTCATGATCTGTGGCAAATTTAGGGTCCAGCGAGCCCATAAGGAGCGTCGCATTGCCCACGCTGTAAATGACATAGGTATCCTTAACGTTCAGATTCTCTGTCAGATCATCCAGGCTGGGCGCCAACGGCTCCTCGGTGAGCAGCGTTCTGCTCAACTGTGTCATCGCCGGCGTCTGTTTCGGTGACATGTGAACAGTTGTTTCATCGGAGCTGCTGCTTAGCGGCCTGCTATCCAGCAGATCCGACCAGCCCAGGCTTGAACCATCGGTGCTCATGGCTGACAACTCTCGCCGTTATTGGGTATGTTTTTTGTTGAGTTTTTGTGTGTTTTATTGTCGAATTTCGTTATTTTTGATTTGTACGTTTTTGTTTACCTAAATTATGTTGTGTGGCCGAAATTTTGATTCGAAATGTCTGACCTGGCATAATGCCGTAGCACACTTGACTAGGTGCCTGACTAGGCGACATATATGAAGTGACTTGTTGATCTAAGACTCGGTGGGGAGCTAAAACCGTGCTTCTAATACCTTAGCTCATTATCAAAAACTATTTATAACATTCACTCAAAGTGCAGCTATTATTTGGAAACGAGTTGGGCAACATACCTGATATGGTGGACATAGTGCGATTGTGATTGCCACGCACCAGTTCCGAGGGACGTAGACTGGGCTCCTCGACAACCTCCAGACCGGAGTCCGAATCCACGGCGTCATGTCCGGCTGCAGAGGCAACAGTTGTTGTGGTTGTCGCTTGTGTTGTTGTCCCTGCTGCGCTTGGCGGTGCGTTGCTAAAGTGATTCTTCTTGTAAATGTTATTACTATTGTTGTTGTTGCTGTTGTTGCTGCTACTGTTGCTGTTGTTGTTGCTGGAGTGTTCGCCATTCAAATTGTTGCGCTGCACTGGAGCACGCAGTGGCGGCGGCAGAGGCGGCGGCGGAGGCCCATTAACTAAACGGTGAGAGAGAAGGAACAAAGGGCGAGAGAGTTAATGGAACTGGTTTACCGAGAATTAAGTATCCTTACAGACATATATGATACCTAGATTTCCACAAATTGTGGTAAATATAAATCTATTTTTAATACCGTAAACCCCATGTCGCAGACTGCGCAGTTTATGCAGCGGCTACTTCATTCCTTTGCTCCATACCACGTATGGGAAATACATTCTTGAAAAGCTTTTATGCTAAGAATATATGAACTAAGGCACGATGCTCAACCTTAAAAAATAACAGGAAGAATTGGGTGAGATATCAAATACCCAATTCAATGATGCGCGCTTCTTAAATCCTATAGTTATGCTTTAAAAAACATGCCTAAATATCAATATATTGGTACAGGAGAAAACATACTTCACACTGGCAAACTGACTTGCGAACATCGTTCTGATCAAGAATACTTCAACCTTCTGCCTGTTACGTACGATTGCTCCAAGCCAATATACCCTTCTTATTCATTTGCAATGGGTATGCAAATAGTAATACCCTCTAAAAAAAATAATGCTATAATTCTTATATGCTAAGACTTACCCACGGCTAGATTCTGCATGGGCGGCGCCGAGGAGACGCGTTTCAAATTCCTGTTCATGTTCATGTTGTTGTTGTTGCTGGTGTTGTTAATGCCGTTTTGATTGATGCTGTTGCTGCTGTCGCTGTTGCTGTTGTGGATATTACCATTGCTGCTGCTGTTGTTGTTGTGCATGGATATGTTGGGATTGCTGCTAAGCATGCCAGTACCCGCCAGATTGTTGCGTATCATGGAGTTCTTGTGCGACTGCTTGGTGCGCTCGGCAACATCCTCGGGCGGGCAGACGCTCTCGTAGGTGTCGCTCTTGATGCCGCCATTCAGGAGCTGATTCTTCAGATTTAGATTTATGTTCTTGCCGCTATAGTTGTCCTTGATGCTTGAATCGTATTTGCTGCTGTGCAGACCAATCATTGAATGCGACTTGTTGCGATTCAGTAGGCTTATGTTATTGTTGCTGATGTTGTTGTTGCTGCTGCTGCCACTGTTGTTGTTGTTATTGCTGCTGCCGTTGTTGTTGCCGCTGTTGTTATAGTTGTTGCGTTTGTTGTTCAAATGCTGTAATAGAAGTAGACAGAGAAAAATTAAGAGGAGGAGCTTAAATGCAAGGTACACATAACTCTGTTAGCTGCTACTCACATGGTTGCTGTACTGCAGCACGACATCTGTGCTGCGTGTGGAGCTGGCGCTGGCGGATCGGGAATGTGAGCCACTGTCGCGGGAGCGTGATCTGCCAACACTATATTTATGCTGCAACTGTTGCTGCTGCTGCTGTTGCTGCTGTTGCTGCTGCAGCAGTTGCTGCTGCTGCTGCTGCTGCTGCTGTTGCTGTTGCTGTTGCTGCTGCTGTTGTTGCTGATGTTGATGTTGATTTTGATGCTGATGTTGCTTGCGTGACTCCTCGCGCACCAAATATATATCCTCGTAGTCATGATCACCATTCTGATTGCCATTGCTGCTGATATTGCTGCTACTGCTCTTATGTTGCTTGTAGCTGCTATTGCTGTTGCTGTTGTTGTTGTTATTATTGTTGTTGACGCTGCTGCTGCCGCTGCTGTTGTTGTTGTTGTTGTTGGTGTTCTTAATGTTGCTACTGCTGCTGATATTGCTGCTGCTGCCATGTCGATTGAAGCTCTGACTGCGCAGCTGGTGCTGGTGCTGGTGATGACTGTGACTGTGACTGTGATTATTACTGTGATGATGACTGCTGCTCTTTGGCGAGTTAAAGCTGGACGAGATGGAAACGGACTCATCGGAGCCGCTGCCTGCGCCGCTGGAGCTGGAATGGACATCCGCCTGAATGGTCATGATGGCATTGCTGGCCTTTGATTGCATCGAGTGCAATGGATGCGGCATCTGGTGCTGCTTCACACTGCTGCAGTCCGAGTCGACGAACAAATCGCGCACCCGATTGTAGATGATCTCCTGGGGATCGTGCAGAAAGAACGACTCACCCGATATGCTCCCGTTTGGCGAGGGTGTGGCATACATGCCGCCATTCCGCATCGGATTCACATAGAGGCCATCGTTCGGCAGCAGCGCACCGCCGCCGCTAGTGCTGCCCGCCGCACCACCACCGCCACCACCACCCGCGGCACCATTGCAGCCATACAGCTTCTCCGAGGAACTGCGCGACTGCTGCGAGTACAGAGCGTCGCTGTTCTTACGCGTTATGCCAACGCCCATGCCCATACCCATGCCCATGCCGAGGCCAACGCCAGCAGCGGCAGCGGCTGCCGTCACAGCTGGCGGATGCAAATAAAATGGCTCCACATCGGAGCTGAGCGTGGATGAGGACTTTGATTTGATCGTGTTGCTGCGGCTCGTCTGCTTGCTGGAATTTGTATTCGAGTTGCAGCTGCTGCTCATGTGTTGCTGCTGTTGTTGCTGCTGCAACTGCTGTTGCTGTTGATGTTGGTGCTGCGACTTGTGACGCTGAGTGTTGTTGTTCTTGTTATTGTAGTCTACGGTGGTGCCATGCTGCACCAACACATTGAGGCACTGTAAGGCAAGAGGCAGGCATTGATTAAAACGTGTTGACCATGTGGCGGCAGTCGGTCTCGATACTCACCTCCACCTGTTGATTCTCGGCCGCATCGTTAATCGGCGATTTGCCATATTTGTCCAGCGACAATTTGGCGCCGTGGTTGAGCAGCCAGCGTACCACAGACAGATGGCCACGCGAGGCGGCAAAATGCAGTGGAGTGGCACCGTCCCCATCGCGTAAATTGGGATCCACGCCCTGATCCTGAACCTGTAAATGCAATCAAGCAAATGTTATTACCAAAAAAAATCATAAATCGATAATACAAATCGGAACGAAAGAAATAGAAGAGACGAATAAACGAAGCTAATAACAGAGAGATGGATGATGGAGATGAAAAGAGCGATAGAGATAATAGCAGAGAAAGCGAGAGAGCAAATAATCACTTTATTATATGCACATCCCCTGAAGTCGACATATATATATATATAGACCATGCCTGTTACATAACTTAAATGGACAAAGTTATCACATTAATGGAAACAAGTAAGAGGTATTAGTCGGGAACTCCCGACTAGGGGATACGCTGAACCCTCTTCTTCCAACATCAAATGCATATATATATTCTATTTTAGAAGCAACATATCATGTTTCGTGACTCTAGCTCTTATTATTTACCAAAATTGCCCAAAAAACAGGATATCGATATCGATTTTTATGGATTGCTTGGAAACGGAGTAAGTTATCGATTATCGGAAATAAACTCGATCCGCGCAGGCACTAGGAGCACCTACATCGTATATGTTCTGAGATCCTTGCGTTCATACATACGGACGGACGGACGGACGGACAGACAGACGGACATGGCTAGATCGACTCGGCTATTGATGCTGATCAAGAATATATATACTTTATGGGGTCGGAGATGCTTCCTTCTGCCTGTTACATACATTTGGATTTTGCACAAATACAATATACCCTTATACCCATTTTTAATGGGTTCAGGGTATAAAAATATATATGTAAATATACATTTATTGATTTGTAGGTGGGAGGAGGGTGGTTAGTTGGTTTCTCTTGCACTCAGTGGCTAAACGAATCTGTCGGCAATTTAATGGATTGTCACCCGCTCCACAAGGATCCATTGTGGACTGTCAATATTGTGACGTGTCGTCGTGTGACTTGACAAGACTCGAGTCGCATGGAGTGCTTAGTGGGCACTTCTCAGGCACACACACACTCGAATGTGGAAAGTGGTTTGCTTGATGTGTGTGCGTCTTTAGCTTTAGCTGCATTGGCAATGCAAAACTATTTAGTTCAATTTAGAAAGGTGATTTTCAACTGGCACCCAAAGTCGGCCCGCCAAGTTGATGTCCCGTTTACGTTGAGAGATCTTCAAAGAGACAGAAAGAGACAGCCCACGCCCGAAGAGCGGCAACGATTCCCAGCGGATACGAAGTAAAAGAACATTGTTAGCATTACGATTTGCCCCAGCTCTGACGTGGACTTCGACTCTGGAGTCTGGAATCGGATACTGGTTAGCGGCAAATGCTAAGCCGCTTGATAAATTGCATAGGCCATGCGACAAACGAGTCAAAGACCGGGCACCGTTAGCAGCGCGATCTGGAACCAGGACAAGAACATGCAGAAGGCCATGCGCCTGGCGCTTGAAACGAGTTCAGGTTTCTTTTTTTTTAAGTTTTTTTTTTTTTTTTTTGTGTTGCTGTTAGCCTCATTTAGGCACTTAGCGTTGGTATTTTTGGCATTTGGCAACGAGTGCAGCAAGCGCTTAAATGTGTGGGTACTCACCATCCATTTGAGGCAATCCAAGCAGCCCATTTGTGAAGCGGCATGGATCGGTGCCATGCCGTCGCGTGCGCGCACATAGAGCGAGCCGCCGGCTTCAAGCACCAGAAACTTGAGCACCTCCAAATGCCCCTCCTGGGCGGCCAGGTAAACGGGCGTGACATCATTGTCCATTTGCGTATTGGCGCTGCAAGATAGAATATACGTATATATATGTATATATAAAAAAAAAGATCTAGTCAGTTACTTTTATGTTCAGTTTCAGTTTTAATTAGCTTGCAGTTCTCTAATGAGCAAAAACTCAGCATCGTCCACACTATGCCCCGTGCCCCATGCCCCATGTGGCATTCACTTGCAACAAAGTTGTGAAAACGATTTGGCAAAACAAAAAACATGCTAATGGCTGCCATATAGAGTTTGCGATACAAATATATAGATACAAATTAAAGTATCATCAATGCCAACATGAAAAGAAAACAGAAAACAAGTTGACAGATTGCGCGTTAGGCTGGCAACCTATGCCTCTCTCTCCTTATCCCTCCCCCCTCTCTCTATCTCTCTATGGTCGCCAGCTAGTTTTTGTTTGTTGCGATGCACAAATTTAAAAAGTGGATGATCGACAGCTGGTGTATGTCCAGTATCTATCATAACCATGAGTTATAGCTGATGTTTACCACACACATCGGAGACGTTATTTCGTTTTTCGCATGCCTAATATAAGGAAAAATTGACAAACTTTTTCTACGGCTTATGTGTAGAAGGTGTTGCAGACTATGGTCAAGAAATTAAACATAATAATGAATGTGTTCACGTTTCGAACCAGCTTGTTGGTTCAACGCGTGAAGCCGCTTTTCGACATCCTTATGTTCAGCTTTTGAAGCTGGCTCTTGAAAGTTGTTTAATTTTAACCAAACCATTAAAAACCATTATGATAAAATATAAACAGATTTTCCATTCAAAATTGATTTGCAGCCTTGTTTAAAAGCTCATATTTCTTAAGGCTAGACTTGGAAAAGGTTTAAAGATAGACAAAAGTACCACATTGTCATCTACTTCAAAACATTTCATAACTATACAGATTCATAATTAATAAAGAATATAGAAAAGTTGGCAGGTTTAATCTGAAAAACCTTTAACCTTTTTCTTTTTATGCAGTTAACATTATATATTGTACATAGTTAACAACAGAATAAATACAAATGATGGGATCATTAAGGAATAATCATATTATGAATGATTTCTTAATTTTATATTTCATGATTCCACTTTTAGATTCTAGCTTGGGAATCTAATGAAATCATTTTTTTTGTCAATTTGTCATAGTATAATTTTGGTTATTTTTTACAATCGTATTTTGATTTGTTGCCATCGCTGTTGCTGTCTCACCTCACGACGCTGCGTCGATTGTTTTGCTCCTTGCGACCCTGGCCAGCGCCTGCGACCAGCATGGACGTGGCCTCATCATCATTGGAGTCGCCATTGCTGGCGGACAGTTTTCTCTGATGCACCTCCATGATGCGTTCGCTGAGATTGCTCAGATTCTCGCTAGGATTTATATCTTCCTGGCTATTATTGTTGCTGAGCTTTTGGTTGGAACTGTGAACGCCGGCTGTGTCTTCGCCGTGCTCTGCATCAGGATCGTGACAGTTGCTGTGGCTGCTGCTGGTGCTGTGGCTGCTGCTGCTGCTGTTGCTTCTAATATTACTGTTGTTCTTGTTGTGGTTGCTGCTACTGCTGCTGCTGCTGAGAATGGCAGTAGTTACGCAGTTCACCTCTGTGGAGATGATGGTATGTATGTCATTGTTGGACTTGCTCTTCTGCTTGCTGCGACGGTACGAGGTCAGACTTGTGGTCATGCGGCCCAGCAGGCCCTTCTTAACGTTGATGGTCGAAAAGTAGCTACAGAGTTGGAGTTTTCTTTTGGTTTTTTCTTGCAGGGATTGCAACAGGTTGTGCCAGTGTTGTGTGTGTGTCTATGTGTGGGTGTGTGTGGGTGGGCAAGGACAGCGTGACGCGAGTGTTGTTTAAGTTTTACTTGTGCATGGAGAAGACGTTACGACACGAGACGCGAGTAAACAATGCGGGTACTGCAATATACCACAATGGGCGGTACATAAAGTGGGGGGCGTGGTTGTGTTGTGCAATTGTTGTGCTATTAAAAATACTGTTGAAATGCCGTTGCTTACCTACGCGCAGTTATTGTTACCTATGTGACTTTCGTTTTTATGTCGCGTATGCTATAATACAGTTCATATAAACAGAATCAACTGGTTTTTCGGTTGAGTTTTCCCCAATACCGTTACATACACACACACAACACACACACACACACGACAAACGCAGAGATAAACAAAATAAATATATATTGAAACGGTTAAAAGAAAAATCACTTTGATATTCGATTCGATTGTTTTTCGTTGCGTTTTTTTTCCAAGATTTCGGCTCTTAACTGTTTTCTGCATCCGTTTATTTGCATTTCAAGTTTGTGGCACGGTTAACAACAATACGCACATCTCTCGCGGTCACATACTACATAAATCTAAATCAATCGTAAATTGAGTTAGTTGTGTCACCCGCCCCGCATCCGCGGTCGAAACCGAAAGTTAACACGGTCGAAAAGTCGTAGAGTTGAAAATTTTGGATGGCGCCGGCCGCATTGCGTCTGCCACGGCAGCTGCAACTGACTCTCAATGTGGCCGCTACACGATTGAGCCATCGGCTGCCTGCCCCAGCAAACTTCTAGTTTCTTTTGTTTCGCTTCTGCCACCTCAGCTCTGCTTTTTTTTCGGGGTGAAATTAACGCAAAATACTAAAAAAAACACTAAAAAAAAAAATGGCAATGCAGACCAGATCACATACTAAAGACTCAGCCATAGACTTTTCTCTCTGTGTTACGCCCGGGCGGAGCGGAGACTTCGCCTCGTCTCTGGTCTTTTGTGATAGCAGCCGCGGGCTATGATGCGCATTTGCTACCATTTGTCTACGTTATTAGCTACAGCACCGTGTGACAAAAATGAATAATATCGAAGCTAACCATAATTTAAAAACTGACTAAATATATAAAATATATCGTATATGCCCCATTTCGAGCATATTCTATTAAAGTATTGTGTTCTAATATTGAATCTTGAGCATGTTGTCTTTTATTGTACTGCTGGGCTAAGATACTAAAGAAACGTGTTGATGCCAACATTTCTGCCAGTTCATGATTATTAAAATATATGAGAGTGAAGCAAACTTAACAAACTTAACTTAAACGCTCCTTGCGAAATTTGAAGCTTTGGAAACAGGCTTAAAATTTCATACACTTTTAAGTTTAACAAGTGTTAAACAAGTGTTAAGCACATAAAAGCAAAAATAATAGCAAACAAGTGAATAATATATGTACCGAGCTGTCTGGAAGGCACAGCCTTAGAGGCAATGCAAGAACGAGGAAACGGGTTCGAGTCCCGGAATGTGGTTTTGTCTTAGCCGAATTCCATGGTAGCCAGTGCTATTTGAAAACTTTGCTTGATGGTCAGATATATCCCACGCTCAAAAAAGTAATGAAATGAAAGATTTTTTCCTCAATCTAGTCCCACTGTGCTTTCCCTAGTCTATGCTGGCGGCGCTGGCGTAGGCAACCGACTGAGATGCTCAGCGGCGGCTACTTCATGGATATTGCACACCAGACGGCCCAGCTTCAGATGGAGTCTTCGCTCCGCTCGTGTCTCAAGATTGGAGCAGGCGGCGCTGTTGCCGCTGCCGCTGCCGCTGCCGTTGCTTTCTTCGGCAGCGACTTAGCGACTTGGCGGCTTGTTGTTACACATTTTCCAGGTTTTCGCTGCAGAAATGAATTGTAAACCAATTAAAGTTGATTTTTCATCTTCATGTTGTGCGTTGTTGTTGTGGGCTTTTTTTTTCTTCTCCTTCTTCTTTTTCTACTTGTTTCTCGCTAGTCTCGTATATATAAAGTTTATAACACAGACCCCCGCTCAGCTCGGGTGTCCATTTGCCAGTCGCGTGTTTTTTATGCGCCTCGACAGCTTCTTCTTCTGCTTTGGCTTTGTAGGTGAAAATACAGTAAATAACGAGTACATCTAAAGTTATCCCAATTTTTTTGTGCTCATTTTGTAATTGCAATTTAATAATTACACTTATTTTTTTTTCTATTCGCATGTAATTTATGTTTATTTTTTTTTTTCTTTAATATTTTTAATAACAGTTGGCACAACTGGAAATAAATTGAAACGCAAGTCTCGAAAGGCCGATAATTATGAAGAGCTGCCTTGTTTTAAGCACGGTTGACAGTTAACCGAGAATGCCATGAGATCTCGAGAGATCTAGTGAGATCTTTAGCGCTTTTAATTGAACATTTGCGTGTCGCAGTCAAAGTCGTAGTCGCAGTGGGCAGAATGAAAGCAACTCTCGACACAAATACGCCAACGGCCCCATGAAGAGAACTAAACATAGTTGGAAGCAACATTTTCAAAATCGATTAGTCGCCAATTCTAGGCACATGATGAACTCAGAAAGTTTGCTGCTCTGCGAATGTTTTCATTTGCTCAACTTTCGGTTCTTTCATCAACAACCTCATAAATACTTCTTGCATATTTCATGATATATTCTATACATTAACTAATAACTTAAGCTGTGTTTCATCTATATGCATGGCATTTGCTTTTGAGTTTTTATTGCCAGCTTTCGTCTTCTATACATGTTCATGTTTGAGATTTGTCTCTAAACCTCTTAAGAGATCTGTATATTTTCAATTACATTACATTTATTTGTCATCTATTTATTAGCATTTTAATTTGTTCTTCTTCAACTGACTTTTTGCTATACATGTTCAGGTTTAAGGTCTGTCTCTTTGAAACCTCCTTAGAGATATATTACGTTTTCAGAATATCTCTCCATTAAAGTAATATTTTATAATCATATAAACATATGTGGGTTGGGTAAATGCTGTATACCCAAATCCCACTGTGCACAACCAACAGCACAAGAATCCCTAGACAACGAACACGCTAAAAGACGAACGACGAATACACGACGCGTAACAACGAGCAAAGAAGACGGCGAATTCGCAGACGGCGAGTTATCCAAAAACGACGATCAACGAGGACAGTGCAAAGCCACGAGGGCAACGTACTGGACGTAGAGCAGAAGATGTTTGCTCGTTAAGACGAAAAGTTCAACGCTGGACCT